TTTAAGTTCTGGGGTACATGTACAGATAGTACATGTTTCTTACATAGGTATACACGTGCCATGGTGGTGGTTTGCTGCATCCATCACCCCATCATCTACATTAGGTATTTCTCCTAATGCTATCCCTCCCCTAGCCCCCAATCCCCGACAGGCCCCGGTGTGTGATGTTCCCCTCCCTGTGTCCATGTGTTCTCATTGTTCAGCACCCACTTAGGACTGAGAATATGTGGTGTTTGGTTTTCTGTTTTTGTGTCAGTTTTCTGAGAATGATGGTTTCCAGCTTCATCCATTTCCCTGCAAAACACATGAACTTGTGCTTTTTTATGGCTGCATAGTATTCCATGGTGTATATGTGCCACATTTTCTTTATCCAGTCTATCATTGATGGGCATTTGGGTTGGTTCCAAGTCTTTGCTATTGTGAACAGTGCCACAATTAATGTGTGCATGTGTCTTTATAGTAGAATGATTTATAGTTCTTTGGGTATATACCCAGTAATGGGATTGCTGGGTCAAATGGAATTTCTATTTCTAGATCCTTGAGGAATTGCCACACTGTCTTCCACAATGTTTGAACTGATTTACACTCCCATCAACAGTGTAAAAGTGTTCCTATTTCTCCACATCCTCTCCAGCATCTGTTGTCCCCCGATTTTTTAGTGATTGCCATTCTAACTGGTGTGAGATGGTATCTCAATGTGGTTTTGATTTGCATTCTCTTAACAAATGTTCAAGTGCACAATACAGTATTGATAACAATAAGCATGATGCTGTATAGCAGATCTAGAACTGATCTTGCTTAACTGAAATTTTATGCCCATCGATTAGCAACTTTCCATTACTCCCTAACCCCAGCCCCTGGAAAAATAAAATAGGGAACACCATTTCAATGTTATTTTATTTTTTATTACTTACTCTGTCACCCAGACTGGAGTGCAGTCGTGCAATCTCAGCTCACTGCAACCTCTGCCTCCTGGGTTCAAGTAATTCTCCTGCCTCAGCCTCCCCAAGTAGCTGGGACTATAGGTGAGCACCACCACACCCAGCTAATTTTTGTATTTGAACAGAGAGGGAATTTCACCATGTTGGCCAGACTGGTCTCAAACTCCTGACCTCAGGTCATCCGCCCACCTTGGCTTCCCAAAGTGCTGGGATTACAGGCATGAGCCACTGTGCCTGGCCTCCATTTCACTCTTTGATTCTATGTATTTGACTCTTCTGGATACCTCAGTACATAAGTGGAACCATGCAGTATTGGCTTTCTGTGACTGGCTTATTTCACTTAGCACAATGTCCTCCAGGTTCATCCATATTGCATCCATATTGTAGCATATGTCAGAATTTCCTTCCTTTTTAAGGCTGAGTAATATTCTATTGCATGTACCTACCACGTTTTGTTTACTCGTTCACCTATGATGGATATTACGTTGTTTACGTATCTTGACTATTGTGAATAGTGCTGCAATGAACAGAAGAGTCCTAATATCTCTTTGAAATCCTAATTGCAGTTCTTTTGGAGAAATACCTAGAAGAGGCCTTGTTGGATTGTATGTGGTTCCACTTTTAATCTTTTGAGGAGCTTCCATATTGTTTTTGCATAATGGCCGCACTACTTCTGCGTTCCCACCAACAGTGCCGAGGATTTGATTTCTCCACATTCTCACCAGCACTTGTCCTTTGTTTTCTTTGGGAATAGCCACCCTAACAGGTGGGAGGGGATATCTCATTGTGGTTTTCATGTGCATTTCCCTGATGATGAGTGACGTTCCGCTTCTTTTCATACATCCATTGGTCATTCACACATCTTTCTTTGGAGAAATGTCCATTCAAGTAGAAATTGGTGATTTGCGAGCCTCCTCCTGAATATTTTCATCTCAAGCACCTCCAACCCTGTCCTCCCCCTGACTCCCATGGCTAATGAGTCACAAGTCCTGCGACCCTCCAACTCAGTTTCCTCTGCCATTCCCAGGGCCGTTACCCTCATGTGCTCTGCTCTGAACTGTAGCCATAACCTCCTGCCTGGCCTCCCAGTCACCAGACTCTCCCTGCTCCCATCCAGCCTCATGCCATGGCAGATTTATCTTCGTGAACTACAGCTTTGATCCTGCAGTCCCTTTAATTCCATATCTTCTCTGGTTCCCCATTGCCACAAGAATATCCCGGCTCCCTAGCCTCGTATTAGGATTCTCATGATTTGGACCCAATTTCCATTCTCACCGCCCCTTCTCAAACACAGACTGTGCTCCAAGTGCAGGAGAGGGCCAATCCCATTCTGCATTTGCAAGTCTCTATGTCCCAAATGTGCTCCTCCCCTCGGCCTGCTGCCTGGAATGCCCTCTTCTCTCTCTCCCATCTGTGCTTATTGAAATTTCCATCTCAGAGACCTACACCATATCCCTGCGATAGCACTTATCCTGTTTTGACTTGACTTTCTAGCTTTCTGTGTTCCCTGTTGGACCCTGCTTGGGTGGTAAAGTCCCAGATAGCAGAGACTATATCTCAATTGAATGTTTGCCCCCTTGCAGGGTTTTAACACATGGTGGGTGCCTGTACATGCTTGCCAAATTAATTTCTACTTTTAGCACTCTAGTCCATATTCCAGAAAAACAACACACATCCCCCGTGGGGTCAGCGTGCAAACCACACAGATCACAGCATCCTGCGCGTTTAAAGATAATCAGTTTATCTGATCCATCGTTATAATCCTTTCAGAGTTTTAGAAAACGCTTATGTCTTTCAGGAACAGATCTGCAGGGCTAGCGTTGCTCTTCGGCCTCCCATTTAGGGAGAAAATTGGGGCAAACTCTTGTGCTGAGGTGTTATCCTCCTGGCTGCCATTCCTGAGAAGACCAGCCTTATTGAAGGTCAGTTATGAACTGTGAGTATGAGAATGCTGTCCTCTTTCAATTCTGTCCAATCTATAGGAGTTTCTACAGGAAATGAGAAAAGGACACTACAGAATCATAGCACTCTCAAGCTGGATCTATCTACTGCAGGCTTTCACTTTGTGGATGAGAAAACAAGGAAAATTGAGCTCTTCAGAGGCAAAGGATTTAGCCAAGCGACACAGGTGGCCAGTGATGAGCAGGAGTGATCCATATTCAGCCTTCAAGCACTTCCCCTGTGTTAGGGACTGAATGTTTGTGTCCCCTCTCTCAAAATTCATATGTTGAAATCTAATCCCCAATATGATGGTATGAGGAGGTGGGGCCTTTGGGCGGTGACTTGGTCATGAGATTGGAACCCTCATTAATGAGATTAGTGTCCCTCTAAGAAGAGGCACAGAGTGATTATATCTCTCTCTTCATCATGTCAATTACAACAGGAAGGTTGCCAACTGCAAACCAGGAAGAGACCCTCACCAAGAACCCAACCATGTGGGCACCCTGATCTCAGACTTCCAGTCTCCAGAACTGGGAGAAATCAATGTTTGCTGTTTAAGTCACCTAGTCTTCGGCATATTTGTTACAGTAGCCTAAGATGACTGACACACACTGCGACTGCCCTCGTGCCTTCTGTCCAGCCCTAACATTTTTGTCAGTTGCCACTTACTGAGCATTTATTAGGAGACAGATTCCATGCTGGACGTTCCACATACACGACCTCATCTCTGCCTCACAACTGCCCTGACAAGTGGCCTGTGTCATCTCTGTCATTTAGACAAGGGGCATGAGACATAAGGGAGGTGAACAGCTTGGTAAAATTCACATAACCAGAAAGTGGCAGAGCTGGAATCTAAAGCAAGTGCTGTCTGATTCTAAAGCATTTATTTGGTAACCGCTTCCCACTTTCCAACCCAATTCCTACTCCCTGGCAAGTCCAGTAGAACCTGTACCAAGAGGAGAGAATTTCCTTCAGGACATCTCAGAAAACTGAGCCCTGTGTGAAGACCTCGGCACAATCTGGCAGCCTCTCCACAGCGAAGGGCCTGGTACCAATTTCTAATCAATGGATTTGGGCCAAGTTGTCAGGGAAGGTAAAGTCTTGGCCAACTGGATGAAGGAGAGGATGTCAAGTTGCTTAGCATCCCTGGGGCTTAGTATTTGTTTTTGTTTTCTTTTCTGAAAGGTAACAATAGAGACCCCTGGCCACAGAGTCAGGAGGAAGATGTGGGAGACTGAGTGAGAAAGTGCTTTTCAAAGTATATGCCTGGAACTTAGTGAGGCACAGTAGGGATGACCCGAGCAGTGCTGGCTGCGCAAGGATCCCCTGTGGGATGCTCAGCTTTGAACCTACCCAGGTCCTTGCTTCCTGTTGTCATATGAATGTCAGTCACCTGGTTTTTCCCTGTGTGTAGAGGGGAACAGAAATATATCCTAAGGTCCGTAATTCTACTCCTGGAGATGCTGAACAAAAATGCACACATCTGTTTATTAGAAAATATGTAACTATCAGTTGTATGTATAACTGCCCCACACGGAAACTGCCAATATGCCTATAAACAGCAAAATGAATAAATACATTTCATTGTATTCACCCAATGCAATAAGAAATAGCAATTAAAAAACCCCTATAATTGCATGAAACAAAATGACTACATCTCACTAACATAATGTTGAGCACAAGAAGCCAGATACAAAACACAGAAAACTACATATGATTCTATTTACATAAAGTTCAAATGGGTCGGGCATGATGGCTCATGCCTATAATCCCAGCACTTTGGGAGGCTAAGGCAGGTGGGTCACTTGAGATCAGGATTTTGAGACCAGCCTAGAAAACATAATGTAACCCTGTTTCTATTAAAAATACAAAAAAAAAAAAAATAGCTGGGAATGATAGTGCAGGTCTGTAATCCCAGCTACTCAGGAGACTGAGGCACAAGAATTGCTTGAACCTGGGAGGCGGAGGTTGCAGTGAGCTGAGATTATGCCACTACACTCCAGCCTAGGTGGCAGAGCAAGACTCTTTCTCAAAGAACAATAACATTAAAAAAAAATAAAGTTCAGACTTACTTGCTGCTGTGGACCATAGTTGCTGGGGTCGGTGAAGGATGCCAAGATGGCTGGGCGAAAACTTGCTCTAAAAACCACTAACTGGGTAGCTTTTGGGGAGATCATACCCCAAAGCCAGAAGGTCATTGCAAACTCCCTGTCTTTGAATGAGAACCTCACCTCCAGGTTGGCTACTCTACCTGAGAATCTACCAGCTATCGACTGGGCTTACTACAAGGCCAGGGTGGCCAAGGCAGGCTTGGTGGATGACTTTGAGAAGAAGTTTGATGCCCTGAGGGTTCTATGCCAGAGGATAAATATACTGTCCAGGTGGATGCTGCAGAAAAAGAAGATGTGAAATCTTCTGTTGAGTGGGCGTCTCTCTCAAAGGTCAGGATTGTAGAATACGAGAAGCAGTTGGAGAAGATGAGGAACTTAATTCCATTTGAGCAGATGACCACTGAGGATTTGAACTGAGCTTTCCTAGAAACCAAATTAGACAAGAAAAAGTATTCGTATTGGCCTCACCAACCAATCAAGAATTTATAAAATTGAGTCCAGGAGGAGGCTCTGGCCCTTATATTACACATTCTGGACATTAAACATAAAAATAATTATACAGTTAAAAAAATAAAGTTCAAATGCAGGCAAAACTAATCCGTGAATTGTGATTATCCTTACTGGAGATGGGGGCAAGGGTGATTGGATGGGAACCCAAGGAGGCCTTCTGGGATTCTGATATGTTTGGTTTTTTAATCCGAGTGCTGGTTTTATGGGAGCATTCAATTTGTTAAAAATTGCTGGTAGTTCAGGTCCTCATTAACCACCTCCTAACCAGCCTCCTAGCCTCCAGCTCCTTCGTGCTCTGACAGATCCTTCTCTCTGTTTAAATGGTCTTCCTGGAACTTAACCTGGTCAGGTCCTGTTGCTTCCTGTTGCAAATCCTTCTATGGCTCCCCGTTGCTTAGGTCTTCAAACTCTGATGGATGTAAGAAACACCTGGAGAACTGTTCTATTAGTTATCAACTACTGTGTAGCAAATTACTCCAAAATGAGTGGCTTAAAACATACATCTTTATTATCTCAGAGTTTCTGTGGGACAGGAGCCTCAGCTTCATGATTAATTGCAAGGCTCCAATCAAAATGTTGGCCCAGGGGCTATGTTCTCATCTGAAGGACTGATTGGAGAAGGATCCACTTTCAAACTCACAAAGCGGTGATTGGCAACATTGAGTTTCTCACAGACTGTTCGACTTAGGAATTCTGTTTACCACTGGTTATTGGTATGAGGGCACCCTTGGTTCATGAAAGTAAGCAAATTGAGAAGGCAGTAGAGTCAGCTAATAGCACAGAAGTTACAATCTTGTAATCCAGTCATACAAGTGACCTTCCATCGCCTTTATTGTATTCTGTTGGTTGCAGTCAAGTTACTAGGTTCAGCTTGTATTCAAGGGGAGTAAATTACACAAGCACATGAATGCTCAGAGGTGGAGATCACTGTGGGCAGGCGAGTTGGATTGTGTCCTCCAAAAAGATATGCCGAAGTCCTAACTCCCAGTACCTATGAACTGACCTTATTTGGACCTTATTCTACCAGAAGCTAGGAGAGAGGTATCCTTCCCTAGAACAAATCCTACTTTGGAAACTCGGAGAGAGCATGGCCTTGCTGACTCTTTGATTTTGCACATTTGGCCTCCAGAATTATTAAACAATAAATTTCCATGTTTTAAGGCCTCCAGATTGTGGTACTTAGTTAAGGCAGCCATAGGAAAGTAATACAGGGATCGTGCTAGAAATCAGCCTACTACATCTAGCAAAATTGCAGATTGTTGAGCCCATGCTCTCCTTACTGCCACCACAATGTTATATGATGGGCTTTGTGGAGAGACCTATTGATTTTGATGCAGGAATTCAAGGGCCCACAATCCCTGATGTAGGAATTCAAGGGAAGCACTCTCTTTGGCTCAGCTCTGTTCTCCTTACTACAGCTCTCTATGCACCCTCCCCACCACAAACTCTTTGGCTATGCTCTGACATTTCCTCTGCCTCTTTGTCCTTCTCCCTTCCCTACCCGATAACACACTCATCAAGACCCTGGTTGATCACCTCCCGCAGGAAGCCTCCACTGATTACGCTAAACAACCAGACTAAATTAGTTGTTTCCTTCTCTGTGATCCCAAATAACTTTGTGCCTAAATGCGCTAGAGGCACTTTGCCTCTCACATTGTATTGCCATTATTCACTCCCTTTCCAGTTTTCATTTCTAGGCTGTGAGCACCCCAAGAACAGAAGCTGTGACTTGCTTAGTCTTGTACCCGCAGAGCCTGGCATAATGCCTGCCCAGGCATATTGCTAACTAAGTGAACAAATGAGATGACTCTTCAGGGCTGCTCACGCATTGTTGGGCGGAAGCTTCGGCCACTCCTCATCTGGCTGTCTTTTTTTTTTTTTTTTTTGAGACGGAGTTTCGCTCTTGTTACCCAGGCTGGAGTGCAATGGCGCGATCTCGGCTCACTGCAACCTCCGCCTCCTGGGTTCAGGCAATTCTCCTGCCTCAGCCTCCCGACTAGCTGGGACTACAGGCACGCGCCACCACGCCCAGCTAATTTTTTGTATTATTAGTAGAGACGGGGTTTCACCATGTTGACCAGGATGGTCTCGATCTCTGGAGCTCGTGATCCACCCGCCTCGGCCTTCCAAAGTGCTGGGATTACAGGTGTGAGCCACCTCGCCCGGCCCTGGCTGTCTTTAGGAGTCATCTTGGCTTCTATGACATGATTGTTCTGATTCTGCCACATTCATGTATTGAGGCAAGAAGCACAAAATCAAAGACCGTCAAAGCTAGAAGAGAGACATCCTGGATAACAGCCCAGTGTGGGCCATGGGGACAACAGGCTTTGCTACCGAGAGGCTCAGCTCTGATGTGGCTTGAATGATCTCACTGAGGGCTGCATGGGCTAGGCTTCCCCTCCTGCTGTGGGGAGAGAGTTTCTCACACAAAGGAGGCTGAGCCAATGATCCTTGCATCCCTCACCCCCTTCCTAGCCACTAGCAGAAAGAGGAACTATGGAGGGAAGGTTTGGGGAATCCCAACTAGGTCACTGGACCAGCTCCATGGGGCTGTCAAGACGAGAGGTATTAGAAAGCTCGTCCTTATGCATGGTGGCTGGGAGGTGGATATTTTCATAACAGCTTTACTGAGATTGCACTCATGTATTACATAATCTACTCACTGAAAGTTTTAGTACAGTCATGGCATTGGGCAACCATCATTACAACCAATTTTAAAACATTTTCATCACCCCCAAAAAGAAACCCCACAGCCATTTGCAGTCATTCCTCATTCCCTTCAGCCCCCTACCGTTTGCTAATGACTTACCTCTTCCCTGTCGCTATGAAGTCGCCTACTCTGGACATTTCAGTTAAATGGAGTCACACAATATGTGGTCTCAACTGGTGTCCTTCACTTAGCATCTTGTTTTCAAGGCTCATCCATATCATAGCATGTATCAGTGCTGCATTCCTTTGTGTTGATGCATAATTTTTCATTGTATGGATAGGCCACGTTTTTCTTCTCCATTCCTGGGATGTGGAATTTCTTTAGGTCTCCACCTAAAGAATTCCATTGGAACTTGATGAATCTAAAGCTGACTTAAATGTAAGTCAGATGCGCAACCCTTCTGCTAAAGATACCCTGCACAATGAAACAGATACATTGCATGGATTCATTAGCTCGAAGCAGCAGACTCAGAAAGTAGATACCACACATGGCTCTTTAGATGAACTTCTAAAACCAGAACAACTCATCCTTAATTCTAAAAATCAATTCAGGGGGCTCTTAGGATGGCGTTTGGGGGAATTGACTGCAAAGGGCCAGGGAGGAAAGCACAGTTGAGAATTAGGCAGGGATACACATTAGTCAAAGTTTATGAAGCAGTATCCTCAAAATTGTGGATTTTATTGCATAGTATATTATACTTCTTCTTCCCTACTGAGAACTCTGAGGATAGATAGCAACCTTCAAATAATTGTACTTGAAAGATTCTTGGTTCGGGGAGAAGGACTTTTTAAATTTTTTTTGTAGAGACAGGGTCTCACGGTGTTGTTCAGGTTGGTCTCAAACTCCCAGCCTCAAGCGAGGCCCTCCCACTTCAGCTTCCTAGAGTGCTGGGATTACAGATGTGAGCCACTGTGCCTTACTGTGAGAAGAAATTTCAAAGAAGACAAGAGAACCAGGAAGAGAAAGGGGGATGTAGGAGAGCTGGCTCACCTCTGGATAGTAGAGTAAGGCCTCCTTGAAGCAAGGAAGCAACTCTTGGGCCATCTCTCCATTGTAGAGCTGTGTTAGCATTCTCAAGGCAACCCCGCAAGAACAGACTTTGGCCTATGGGTTTGTTCTGAAGAATGAATGAATAAGGAATAACAGCACAATAGCTAGTAGCACCATACATCAGCCCTGTCCTTGTAATAACCCTACAAGGGTAAATATTTCAGTACTCTCTCCAGCTCTTCCTTGCCATACTCAGGACCTCAGTTTCCTCATCTGTCAATCAGAAATAATAATAGTACCTACCTCACCAAGTTATAGTGCCTGGCTTATAATGAGGACTCAGTGACCATGAGCTGATATTACCTCTATATAACTGTTACCCTCACTGTCAGGAAAGGGTTAGACATTCAGCCACTCTAAGGACATTGTATGTGATTCAGGAAACATATGATCACGCACAGCTTGGCTATGTCCTGTCTCCTAGGGCTGTGTGTATTTTCTCTGAGTCAGTCATTAGCCAGAGGGAGACTTCATTGGCAGGGTTCTCGGTGGCATCGAGAAAGACGGGAGAGAACTTCCCAGGTAAGTTCCAATAAAGAGCTTGTGTAACATGTGTAGGTAGCACAGTTTCCCCAGGATCACAATTCCAGGCTTTTGTCCATTCTGCTTTCAAAGCAAGGACCTGCAGGTCAGAAGAGTTGGGTGGGAAAATGAGGCCATCAGGACCAGGGCAAATTCTGTTAATTGTGGGGGCCTCCAGCCTGGGAGCTTTGTAGCTTTGGCTAGAAGCCTAAGCAGTCACTGCCCCCTCCACGGATAAGGAGGTGGGCTGTGCCAGGAATTGGCTCCAAGGAGGACTGCAGTGTGGCTATGGAGGGAAGGAAGCAGCCTTCTCTTGGGTGAAGTACAAGAAAGCATGGAAATGCTCCCCTCCTTTGGAAGCGCCTTGCTTACTGACTTGCGTGTGTGCACAAATGTGTATGTGCTTTGTGTGTGTGTGGTGGGCTTGGGGCAGGTGAGGATGCCATGCCAAGCACTCCTGCGTCAGGCCTCGTGCTTTTGTACAAAAGTTGGGTGTTAATCACTGGCATTCTCCAGGTCCCCTCTGCCCTCTTGGCTCCTTGTCCCAAGGGTGGGTGGTGTAGAGACCCGGCTGCCATGGCCCATCTGTCTGGGATTAGCCTGGGAAAGGTCCCCCAAATATCCCATTGCTTCAGCTCTTTTAGGTTTTGTAAAATGCAGCAGCATCAAAAGAGTCTCAGATTTTTCGTTAAACTTCTTGAAAACAGTTTTTGGGTATGATCAGGCTATCTGAAGATCCCTAATCAAGTAGGCCAGTTCTCTGTAAGGAACTGTGAATTCATTCATTCATTCATCCATTCATTCATTCATTTGACTCAGGCATTCAGGCATTAACACAAGCGGTTCCTGAGCACCCGCTGGTTGGCCAACGGCTGAGTCCTGGGAAGACGAATGAGGCAGGCCCGTCCCCTCCCCGCGTCCTTCCTGGAGGACACCTAGCCTGAGGTTAGTTAGAACCGGTACCTAAAGGATAGAGCGAAATGGGGACCACAGAATAATGGGCCCTAAAACAGAGGCAGGAAAAGCGGAAAGGAGGATGACAGGCAGGCTAGACCACTTCCTGTAGTTGCCAGGTAAAGATCAGCAGAGATCTAAAGGCGATTTCACCCACTGCTTCTCCCGGGATCCAGAAAAAAGCTGCTTTTGTTCTCTAACCGCGGCCGCGAAGGGCCAGACCTCAGTGGCTTTTAAAGGACCTGCGCCGGGACGGTGGTTTCTCCAGCGGAGCCCGTAGGCTTGGTTCACAGGCTGTCCGATAGAGGGCGCTGTCTGCCTGACTTTGAATGGAGTCGTAAGCGCAAGAACGCAGGCAACACCCCTCGCCAGAGGGCGAGTGAAGGGCTGAGCCCGCGCCCAGACCCGATTCCCAACAGCTTTCTCGAAGGGGAAGGGAAAGATCTACTCAGTGTATCCTGCTGTTCAAGCCAAACAATCCCTAAAACTCTGAGGATGGGCTGAGAGTGCGGACACTGGAAAAGCTCCTCTCACTGGCCAAGCATACAAGCACACAACACCGCCCTTGCTCTCCCCTGGGAGAGGAGTAAACGGGTGAACTTGGGGCGACAACTGGAAAGCCAGGATTGGGTAGCCGCACAGCTCTTCTCTTGCCAGACTCTTCTCTTTCTAGACTGGGACTGTCCCCTCCCCATCTGGGTCTAGCCCTGGAGTTCTGATCAGCCACGAGTCCTCTTCCCCAAACAGAAGAGGCATTTTCGGCGACCTCTGCCAGGCGCTTCTATTTCAGGGGAGCTGACAAGCTTCTCCAGTTTAAAGGCGACTTTCGTGCGTCGGAACTCTACCCAAGTTTGCGTGCGTCTGCCCTGGATAGCGGAGCTCCCACAACACACGCGCACACACGCAGGGGTCTCTCCATGCGTACTCGGCCGCCTGGCACGCTGTGTGCAGTCGGTGCCCACCCGACCCTCATAGACCTACGTGCATCGAACTATTTCTGCGGCTAGGGAGAAAATGACCTCTGGGTATCCAGTAGCGGTTGGGTGACCTAGGCCCAGTTTCTTCTTCTCTGGGCGCGGTTTCCACCTTTAAAATCCAAGTGTGAGACCCGCCCTGCTGGGGTCTCAGGACAGTGATCCGTTACAACCCAGAGTTTTAGATGGTGTAGTGTTTTGCTTTCCAGTAAAGCCCTGTGTAAACTCAAGGGAGTATTAATAGTCATTGTTTATGGAAGCACCATTTGCGTTTCCAGATTTCCAAAGCAAAAATGGGGTTCGCTGCTGTAGATGAATGCAGAAAGAAATATTACAGACGCCCGTCGAGATTTGGTAGGGAGGGTCTCACGCCCCAGGACCGAAAAACAAAATCTACCTCTCAAGTGACGACCCCACACTGTCGCGTCTGCCAATGCAGGGCGACCTTGAATTGGGTGGGGCTCAATCTAACAAAAAAGAAAGCGGTGCGGAGGTGAAGGGATCCCCAAAAGCCCTCGTGTGCGGGAGCTTCACCCAGGTGGAAGAGGGTGAGGCCAGTTTGTCACCTTTCTCTGATCAGAAAGCTGTCTCTCAGGAGGGGACCCTACAAACAACTCTGATTTACTTGATGCTTAAATCTAGACTCTTAAATGTCTGACTCATGGGCTTCTCGTGCGAAACGGGGAGCTGCATCTAAAGCCAATGGAGTGGAGTGACCTTTCCCTAAGCCGTTTGCAAAGGTCCAGTGTGGTTCTCTAAGGACTCGGCTGCTGTCGAGACGCGCAGCGGGTGTCGTTGCCTGCCGCGGCCGAGGAAGTTACGCCGCTGAGCCTTCGGTTCACCTTGCCCCCATTAACGCGTTAGTTAGGCAGTTCCAAACGCCGGTAGACTGGAGAGACTTCCTGGGAGAAGGTGTTGTCTTCGGGGTCACAGACTCGGAGCTGATCTGCGAGGCTTGGGCACCGGCGGCCAAAGCAAAGGAATGCCCTTCCGAGTACAGCCGTCGGTGCCAAGACGCTGTTGCCTCAGCAGCCCCACCGAGTGAAGCCCGGGTTTTGGCCGGATCAGCGCGCATACGCACAGACGCACGCCCACTCCTGCTCCCGGGGAAGGCTCACTCTGCAGTTTTCCAGGGCCAAAGGCCAAGGCAACGCGGATTTCTGAGCTCGAACACGCAGTGTGAGGACTTAACACCCCGATTCCCTTACTATCGGCTGGACGATGGGTGGGGAACCCAAATCTCTGTCTTGACCGCGCCCTTCCTAGCAGGCTTAAGGAAAAATGCTGAGGTCGCCGGACCCCAAAGGGTAGGAAAGTGATGAGTTCGCCGCGGGCGGAGGTCGCGTTCTGCCTCTTGGGCCCGCGCTGCGTGGCTCTCCAGCCGCGTGGGGGCGGAGGGCCCCTGTCCAGCCCCAGGAGGCGGGGGGAGAGGCAGCTGCGAGCGTAGATAACCCCGAGGTGACCCGGGAGGGCCTGGCCCGCCCCTCCCCCCTCCCGCAGGCCTGGCGGCGGGAAGCGGGTCCCTGCGCCGCAGGGGGGAGAGGCAGGCGGTGGCTCCCGGCTCGCGGCTGTCAGTGCGCTTCGGCCAGGGGCGCCGCCTGCTCCGCGTCTCTCGCTAGCCTCCTGCGCCGGCAGGAGCGCTCCGAGTGCCTCTTTAGCGAGAGCCAATATCCTTTTGTGCTAATAGGCTTGTCCTCATTTGCTGCCTAATTGGACTATATAAAGCCAATAACAGGCTGGCTCTTATAGCCCGAAGCCAAAGCGCCAAAATCCGAGGGAAGACAAGGAGGGGGCGGTGGCAGAGGCGGCTGCGGGGCCGGGGCTCGGCTGAGCCTTCGCCTGCCTAATCCCATTTGCCATTGTACGCGCCCAATCGCCGTATACTCCCCGCATTTAACTTGGATGACATTTTGATTTCATCATTAGCATCCGGCGCCGGATTGACGCAGCCTCGAGCCGGGGACTGCTCTTGCTGCCTCCTCCGCGGGAGCCGCAGCCGCAGCCTAGCCGCCTGGATACTTCCGTGCCGCGGCTGGGCCGCTCCCCGCCCCTCTGCACCCCTCCCCCATGCTAGCCCGCCCCGACTGGGTCCTCACCCCGCCCTCCTACCGTTGGATTTGCGCCTGGGGCGGCCCCCGACTTTGAGCCCGGTAGTTGAGTTTCGTTTATGGTCTGATTTCCGGCCTCTCGCCTGCTCGTCCCGCCGCCCGCCTGTCCCGCTCCCTCCCTCCCGGGGACCCGGAGGAGAGGGGACCATGCCGGAACCCGGACCAGACGCTCCCGGCTCCGCCAGCGCACAGCCCCCTCCGCCGCCGCCCCCACCATCCGCTCCCAAGGAGTCCCCGTTCTCCATCAAGAACCTGCTCAACGGAGACCATCACCGGCCACCCCCTAAGCCGCAGCCGCCCCCACGGACGCTCTTCGCGCCGGCTTCGGCTGCCGCCGCAGCTGCTGCTGCCGCCGCCGCGGCGGCCAAGGGGGCCCTGGAGGGAGCCGCGGGCTTCGCGCTCTCGCAGGTGGGCGACCTGGCTTTCCCCCGCTTTGAGATCCCGGCGCAGAGGTTTGCCCTGCCCGCGCACTACCTGGAGCGCTCCCCAGCCTGGTGGTACCCCTACACCCTGACCCCCGCCGGCGGCCACCTCCCGCGACCTGAAGGTACTGACCTCTCTTTGAACTTTCGTTGTCCCCCAGCGCGCCCGTCCCGTCCCCGCCCGGCGCTGCTTCCCTCCGCAGCTCTGGGATCCCAGCACCCGCAAACCCTCTGTTTAGTCAGTTTCTTTCGGCCCCCTGGCCTGCATCGCTTGCCCTCGCACTGGGTTGTGCTGCCCGCGAATCCAATCCCACTTGGTGAGAAAAGACGTGGAATTGGAGCTTGGGGCACGGCGCTTCCTGGGAAAAGTGGCCTCAGGCGTGAATAGGGAGGCTTCGGACGGCCAGGGCAGGGCACAGGGCCTGGAAGGAGGGAATGATTCCAATGCGCCTAAGCTGAAAGCAAACCATTCCGCGGGCCCCTGGCAGGGAAGTTGAGGGAATGGAAGGAGGTGGCCGCGCTGCCATCTCTGCTCGCCTGTCCCCGGGAGGAGGGGGATCCCAAGACCTGGCGTTCCTTCTCTGGCCCAGCCAGGAAGGAGGCGGCCAGTGGGAATGGTGAAGCCTCGCAGCCCGGGACCTGTAGGCCGGCGCGGGTTGAGCTTGCGGTCCCCAGTCGCCGGGCCTCGCTCAAGGCTGTGTCGGTGTGCCATGTGTGTGCGTCCGTCTGTCTGTCTCCCCAGCCTCGGAGAAGGCCCTCCTGCGAGACGCCTCCCCCGCCTCGGGCACGGACCGCGACTCTCCGGAGCCACTGCTTAAGGCAGACCCCGACCACAAGGAGCTGGACTCCAAGAGCCCGGACGAGATCATTCTGGAGGAAAGCGACTCCGAGGAAAGCAAGAAGGAAGGCGAAGCGGCGCCAGGCGTGGCCGGGGCAGGCGCAGGGGCGGCGGCGGCGGCGGCGGCGACTCCGGGGGCAGAGGACTGGAAGAAGGGCGCCGAGAGTCCGGAGAAGAAGCCGGCGTGCCGCAAGAAGAAGACGCGCACCGTCTTCTCGCGCAGTCAGGTCTTCCAGCTGGAGTCCACCTTCGACATGAAGCGCTACCTGAGCAGCTCGGAGCGCGCCGGCCTGGCCGCGTCGCTGCACCTCACTGAGACGCAGGTCAAGATCTGGTTTCAGAACCGCCGCAACAAGTGGAAGCGGCAGCTGGCGGCGGAGCTGGAGGCAGCCAACCTGAGCCACGCCGCGGCGCAGCGCATCGTGCGGGTGCCCATCCTCTACCACGAGAACTCGGCCGCCGAGGGCGCGGCGGCTGCAGCCGCGGGGGCCCCGGTGCCCGTCAGCCAGCCGCTCCTCACCTTCCCGCACCCCGTCTACTACTCGCACCCGGTGGTCTCCTCCGTGCCGCTGCTACGGCCGGTCTGAAGCCCCAGAGGGGTGGGGGAGGGAGCGCCCGGCCTCCTCTTCCGGACCCCAGAGGAGACTGGGCCGGGCCGAGGGCGCCGGGACGTCCCGCGGTCTTCAGGAACCCGGGCTTCGGCGCCCAGCCTCGGCCTCCCCTCCCCCAGTCCGTAGCGTTTTGTAAGTATTTGCAATGCATTTTCGTGCAATTCATCCCCAAAGGATTGGAGGCGCTTCCCCTCTTACTTTTGATTTTGGCTTATATTAAGAGAAAGCAGGAAGGAGACAAAATTTCTGGGACAAATATTTAGACCGAAAGTTTTTGTAAAATGTGCAGCCCTCCCCTTCAAATTTCCATTGCGCTGTGGCTTTTTGGTTTTATTTTTATAGAAGGGAAATAACTGCAAAACCTGAATCCCTCTAGTTTATTATTATTATTTTTTCCTAGACGGAGTCTGGCTCTGTCGCCCAGGCTGGAGTGCAGTGGCAAGATCTCGGCTCACTGCAACCTCCGTGTTCCGGGTTCAAGCAATCCTGCCTCAGCCTCCCAAGTAGCTGGGATTATAGGCACGCACCACCACCCCCAGCTAATTTTTGAATTTTTAGCAGAGACGGGGTTTCACCAAGTTGGCCAGGATGGTCTCCAGCTCCTGACCTCGTGTTCCGCCCGCCTCGGCCTCCCAAAGTGCTGGGATTACAGGCGTGAGCCACCGCGCCCGGCCTAGTCTATTCATTTTCTAGAGAGAGAGAGAGAGAGAGGAGAGAGAGAGAGAGAGAGAGAGAGAGAGAGAGAGAGAGAGAGAGAGAGAGAATGAATATGGTAGTAAGTTTATTTCTGGATTTCTGGGTGTGTTTCTTCCTCCCCACTCCCAAGGCAGTTATCCACCTTAATTTTCAGAATCTGAGCAGCCTCTCACAAGAATTCGGACTCAGGCCGCTTTTCTCTTCTGGAGAGGTCTGTCGCAATGAGCCTCTTCATCGGTCTTACTTCGTGAAGGAAGAATTCTCTTAAGTGTTTAAAGGGAAAAGAGCCAAAAATCAGAACTCTATTGAAACAGCCCTACATCTGGCCTGGTCTGAGTGATCTTATTTATTAGCAGCATTTATTTTGGAAATTTCATTTGGTAAATTATTAATATTACTATTATTACTTTGTTCCCTGTTTTAGAGCGTAATTTCAGTATTTTTAATTTGGTATCTTTTATTCTCTCCTCTTACCTTTCATGTTCTGCAGTAACTGTTGTACTTCGACCTGTGCAATATTGTACAAAATTTTCTGAGAAAGCCGAGCCTTTTCACTGTATCATCATGGTCATTCATTTAGAGAGAAAAAATTAGGCAGGGGAAAGGGGAGAAGAAGGAAACAGGCTTAGGTAATGATGCTCAAAGGAGGAAGTTAGGCATAATGGAGCGCTTTAAGTGAAGGACAATCAATTTAGAAGAATTTTAACTTATTTGATAAATGTACAGATTTCTTGTAAAGTTCACCCTCTACTCTACAGGGCTCCTGGCTCTGTCACCCTATCTGTTTTCTTTCTGTCGGCTACACCTGTTGGTCTGCGATACTTTGTTTCCCCTCACCTCCCTCACCTCTGCTTGGGTTGAGTCCCTTTTTAAGAAAAAGAGAAAAAAAACCCACAAAATATTGTTACGCTAATGTTGTCGTGACATTGAATTAATTAAAAAGAAAAGCTTTTCGTGTTGCCAGAGTGTGTAAGTTTGGACGATCTTCCCCAGAGCAAGTGTCTCCAAAACTCTTTTCTGTCTTGCTCGCTGACTGCCTCTGCTGCTCCCTAAGTGCGATCGAGACGCACATCCCTGTAATCCGGGAGGCGGCGGAGACAGAAGCGGCTTTGTTCACTCTCTCCCCTGCACCTTCCGCAGCTTGAAACGCCCAGCTAGCAGGGAAGAATGCTGGGCGGAAGGTTTGAGGACCTAGGCTTATCTAGTTTGCGAAATTGAGCAAAGCGACAGCCGCGCTGGGCGAAATACCAGACAGCTGGTATTTCCCAACACTGAGCTGCAGCCTCGCGTTCTGTTCTTAAACCTGGGATTTTTCGGGAGCCAAGAGCTTCTGGGCAGGGCATCCCTGAGCACTCGTCAACTGGTTAACTTTGATGGGCTCTGGTTGGAGGGAAGAAGGGAGTGAATTCAGAGTTTAGCTGCAGCGGAAGGCCGATTGCCAAGTCAGGCTAGGAAAGGCTGGGCCAAGAGAGGACAGCCCCGAGGACAGCCAGCTTTTGGGACTGCGGCTCCCACTTCCAGGAGAGGGGGACTTCCGCAGGGCTTGCGGAGCTGAGATTTCCGGGGTGGCTCAGGCATGGGTGCGGTCCTGATGTGCCAAGTGCCAGGGAACAGAGGCTACCCAGCTACGGCAGCTGCAACAGAGAAGACCATGTCTCTTCCGTGCCAGGCCTTTTTCTGTCCCCCAGCGCCCAACACCTCTAGGGCGGCATGTCTAGATCCCGGTCCCTGTCCTGGCGGACACCGGGAAGCATAGCGCTCACCGCATCCGCGCGCTGCTGGGCGCCAGGCCACCGCGCTCTTGGTGGGCAGCCCTCGGAGGAGGCACAGTGAGCCGGGGACCTCCTGGAAGGGTGGGTCCGCCAGACAGAAGCTGGTGCTTGGGCGACCCTCGTTGACCTAGTGTGGCCGCCTGCCTTTAAGCTGAGGGTCTGCACGAACAACTTCCTGCGGGGCAGCTGTGAAGCTGGGAAGCCGAAAGGGGGAGATGAGGAACCGGGAAGCTGAAGAGATTCCAGAGAGCAGCCATAGGGCACGACCGCTGGGGAGCGCCTGCACGCCTCCCTTTCCCCTCGCAGTGCGTTGCCAGGCTCCTCAAATTCAATCGACACAATTGATTCTACTGTGGCTGAAACGTCCAGTATAGTTTCCTGTTAATGGAAAACTGCCCTCCAAATAAACCGACATGCGTATTTATGGCAAAATTTTAGCCTGGACCCCAGTGAAGATAGATCTCTCTTTATTTCCCTCTGGTTTGGAATAAAAACGAGGGCATGTGTCATAAATGAAAAATAAACAGAAATTCGGGTCAGAATATGTTGTTCCTTGTGTTACCTACAAACATGGTGATGCCTTTTACTGTTGGCAATATCAACCGCAGGACAGGCCAATAACAGCTCATTAAAAATAATGTTGCAATAGCAAACACGTTCTCAGATTTTACAGCCAGAACACGATGTTATCAAATGCCAAGAAAATACTTCTTTATTTGTGTATGGATTCTAGAAAACGGTTCTTGACTGACCAGGTCTTTACAAAGTCGGGAAATAACTGGTTCTCCACAAGCACAGTTTATCCTTTGTCTTGTTCCCTACAGCCTCCCTTTCCCTCCTGTTGGGGAGCCCCACCGCCCTGGACCCCAGAGCACTCCTCCCTCAAACAGTGAAGCGCGCCCTGGGGGAGGGAGGTGGTGCCGACTTGGCCTGGGGACTGAGGGCTGTGTGAGCCTAGAAGCTGGCCCCTGTGGGAAATGTCGATTCCCTCCAGTCAGGGGTCATGGTATTTATCCCAAGGCAAGAGAGAAGGTTGAGCTAAAGTACAGGGCTGGGGAGCACAGAAGCCACTTTACACCAAGCATCCTAAGCTCAACTCCAAGTTTTTCTGTGGCGTTCAAGCCAGGAGAAGCCAAGAAACCACTTAGTGGGGCTGCCACAGCACCAGAGCTGTCTGTCGTCTCCCCCCAACTCAGGATGCCCCCCTCCCTGCTGCCTCTGTAAAGACTGCTGGGAACTGCTGGCACCACTCACCAAAAGGGGCCATTTTTGGGAAAAGTGAAGGTGCCTACACAAAATTCCTCCTGGACATTCCCTAGGGGAAGACAGGGCATCCCTCATCCTCTCTCCTAGGACACTGAACTGGCACTCTCAATTTTGTCTTTTCACACCTCCTTCAGACTGTGGAGCCCAGCCTTCTCTCTGACTACCCTAGCTTCAGATTCTTCCCCATCTGCATCCCAGTTCATCTTCAAATCAATGCAAATGACTTCAGCTTCCAGGCTAAATCATTTCTGCATCACCCAAAGAGACACACATGCAAACACACAGGATACACCCACATTTGATATCAACACTCACCACACACACACACACACACACAGCAGACCTCCTAACAGATACTATTTCCGTGGATTCCTAGCAAACCCAATCACAAATGTTTAGCATCAATGCCATTGCTAAGGCACAGACATAGTCACACACACCTGGTTCGAAGGGACCCTTTTCTCCGATGACCCCAGGCTAAGGCAAGCTGAGAAGAATCCTGGGAAAGGACTGGGGAGAGAGCAAGGTGGCGCTCCCACCTATACTGCAGGAAGCCTGAATGAACATCCTCGGGACCGGGATACTTCGAAATCCCCCCTCACAAGCCATCTGCGATAAACTGGTGGCACTTGCCACCATTCCACCGCAGCCCCCCATGCTCTTGTAGGCTGGGATCCTACTCAGTGTCCGCCTCCTTACTGTGCCAGGCTCCTCTCTGGGAGCACCCCGGAGGCCTCTGGACCCTGGGAGACCACAGAGCCAGCACCCGAACTGTTTCTGTTGGCAACACAGATGTATTTCTTTTATTTGGTAGTAAATATAGCGGGTGTGTGTACATCAAACAACAGCAAGACAGATATAAACTGCCCCCCCACCACCGGGCGCTCATTCTGAGCCACGACGCCCCCTCAGCAGGCTCCCGGCACGGCCGAGCCAGAGGCCACTCGGTGAGAACCCCAGTGCGTGCGCTCTCCTTGCGTGAGAGGCTGGAGCTAGAGTTGGGAGAAAGAGGAGCAGGCCAAAAGATCAGTGGGATCTGCTTTCCCTTCCGCGGCGGAACGCTGGGCCAGCTAGGGCCTGGGAGATGGGGACCAGGGTCGGAGTCTTGGGGGCGGGCGGTGGGGGGTGCAGACGGCTTCCTTCAAGAGCTTCGAGGAGGCCTCGCGTTTTCCGGCTGCCTGGGGAAGGGCCACACGCTGCTGCTTTCACACTTTGCTCCCGCGAGGCATCTGAACTTTCCCTGAGAGCCTCTTTGGGGCCCGAGCATCTGCTGGGCGCGACCCTGCCCTCCACGTTCCATTTTGCTCTATTTCTTCGGGTCGTCCATTTCCCGCGGCTCAGCGACCCAGCCAGGGGGCGTCTTCCGCTTAGCGGTCCAAATGTAGACTCTGCAAAGCGGCTAAGAAGGGCTGTCTACCCGGGTGCGCGCGATGGGGTCAGGGTGTAAGAACCAAGAGCCTCACAGAACCCTGCTTGAGGTCCAAAGCGCAGCTGGCAGCACCCGGAGGACAACATCCTCCCCTGCGCGTACCCCTGGCCCGGTAGGAGCCATCTGCAAGGCAAGGCTCTCACTCTGGCTTCTCGCCCTCTCGCTACCCCCCACCCCTAACCCCAGCTTTGAGGGTATGAGTGACCCCTTGCCTCTGGGCCTGAGCCACTGGATGTGTACAAGCCGGTGTGCAAGGTGGATGGTGTTGACCTTTTGACCTGAAAACAGTTGGGGGTTGGGGGCAAGGAAGGATGGCGGAAGAGAGGAAAGAGCCACGAAGTCACCTAGGCGGGGTTCCAGCCCTGCTGGTGCCTCGGATCCGGGTCTGAGGTTGAGATTTGGCTGCACTTGTCCCGGAGTGTCTCTTCTTCGGAATACCCTGAAGGTGCACGAGGTTGGGAGCCTAGGCTGAGGTAGGTAATCGGCTCCTGGATGGAAACACAACCCTTGTCCTCACTGGCGCCCCTGTAAGTGCCTGGGATTCCTTCCCACCCTTCCGTCTCCAGGACTCCTAAGAATATCACTCGACGGGGCGGTTCCGGAGACCCGAGGGAAGGGTTAGCTGGAGGCTGCAGCGCGCCTCCTCCAAGAGTCCCCTGGATGTTCGCACGAGTGGTACTCGCCCAGATCTCTTCCTTGGCTGATGCTCCAGGCGATGCATCTCCGGGGAAAACTTCCCAAAGTCTGAGTCGCCGGGGTTCCAAAAGGATCCCTTTGGGTTTAGGCCTGGGAGAGCTATAGAGCCAGCGAAGAGCGCGTTGCGCCCAGCACTGAGGCAGGAGCGGTGAAGTAGAGTCACCTGGCGTGCCTCACCCAAGCGCTAATGTCTTAAAGAAATATAAAGAATCCCCTTTCGTGAGTCCCTTCACCGCCTTCGCCCCCCTTGGTGATGGAGCGCACGCATCAGATTTTCATCAAAGTTCTATTAAGTGAAACATAGGTTGCAGGGCACCCTTTGATTGAAACAGTTTAAATTTTAATTGTGTTTTTAATTTGACATATAGTTGCAGAAAGGAATGACACTGCGTCGCCAAGGGGCGGTCGATTTTCTTAATTTCTCCCAGAGGAATTGATGAGTCTATCAGGCCACTAGATTGGAAACCCATTAAAGCTCTCTGGTTAGGCTGTTAATTGGAACTTGATGGATGTGGGAGGGGGGGTGTCGGGACTCGGCTATGCTGATCCAATCTTCATGACTTTCTGTTTTCCAATAAATTACACAATTCATTTTCCAGCCACAGATTACATAAATTGTACACCTCTGGGGCTCTCTTTTTCAAATAGGGAGCCCTTTTCCCCAAAAGCCTATTGTGAGATGTCATTTGCACCAAAGAACGAACAGCAGAGGCCCTTGAATGAAAATCGAAACATAATCAACGTTTATACTTAGAAAATTTATTGAGATCATTTTCTCTGGTATTTCCTTATTTTAAAGTTTGGACGCACCATATATCATAATCCACTCGCGTGGGGGGGGGCAGACTGTGTTTAATATTTATCGAAGCTTGATTCCAAGATCAAACTTGTTTATGACTTCATCTGTCATTTCGGAGAGAGCCTTCTTCCACTATTACCCGGCTCAGCCAGCCTATTTCCCAACTGCCGCAGAGCAGAGAGGATCAATTTTTATTAGGCTCCTCGGCAAGTTTGCTCTGGGCCGCTTTAATATTGAGCAGTGGCATAATCTCGGGACCTAAACTTGAAGCGTTCTTTCAGTCTGGGAAAGTTTATCATTCCTTGGAACCTGGTCATGCCTAATTCCTCGGAGAGTGAGACAGGGGGTCGATTCCAAACAGGTAGAGGGGCCATCCTCCAAGGTGTGGGCATTAAACTGAGTAGGGAGCGGCGGAGCTGTCCCAAGACTAGGAGGGTGGGCGGGGTGTGGGACAGTACTGAGTTGAAGGATTGCCACTTGTTAGGGGAGAGACAGGAGGTGTCTGTGGGTGGTGGTTCCAGGAACTGAGTGTTCCTGGGAGTGAGTTTTGCAGCTACACTGGCCCAGGAGAGGGCGTCTGGGCCTCCGCTCTCCCGGTGAAGATCCCCGCAAACCGGAACGGGGTGGCAGGGAAGGTCTTTTCTTGTCCCTCCTGTCCCT